TTAATAACTATGTAAAATAAAATAAGACAAAACAAAGTGGATAAATCCTGCATAAAGTCAGTTTAACTCATACAATTAAAGATACAGTGTAAGTGAATGCATAAACCTACAGTTAAAGCTACAACTTTTAAGTTGTACCAAGTTAATCAAGTGTAAGAAAAACATGTTTGTGATAGATTTAGAAGTGGCTCAACATTCAATGCATTTGATGACATCTGTTTGCAGGCTCAGCTGTCAAGGCTTCACATAGTTTGGTTGGCTATAGACACTAATCTGACACCTTTTCATTGAGCTATGGGATATACTTGATGTACTTAAGTCATATTTTTGGGCTTTAGTTTCTTTATTCAGAAATGATAGGACAGGGGATAGAACAGGAGGGAGAGAGGGTAGGAAATGACTAGCAGCAAAGAGGCTGTAGAAACTCTGCAGCCTCCTCAGTGACAATATCCTTTGTATTGGGGGGTTGATTGTACCCCTTTAGCAAACCAGGCCACTTTTTAAAGCATAATCTATGAAGAACTAAAACTCAGAGCTAAGATTTACACCAGGTATTACATTTTGTGGTTGTTGGGACTTTTGCAGTGGTGTTCTGCATAGCTGAAGGTCTTTTTTTAGTGGTCCAATTGAAAGGCTATTGCATTAGTCCACTCTATTGAGTCTGAAGGCATGAATGAGCTTCTCTGAGTTTATACTGGACAAGGTCTGTCACGATATCCTGGTATTGACTATGACAATTCTTATGTGCTCAATAATTAAGGGGTGGTAGCATGAAATGGAGGGGAGACGAGGAAGAAGCAGCAGCAGAGAAAAACTGATCAACCAGATAGCTAGCTTTCATGGCTACAAACATGTCTTGAACTATGTCAGAATGGTTGACATTAGTAAAATAATACCAGTGATATTTTGTTGGTCCTCGTCTAGATACATGCCCTCTGATGAAATGCAGATTTAGTAAATGTATGCATACTGAAATGCAGATCTGGGTCAATCAAGCTCTTATGATCACATGCAGGTGCATAAAGTACCCTTCAGTTTTCTTTTCATGAGATGAATCAGGCTCTGAAATAATTGTGATCAAACCCTTCTGTTACATCTTAGACACTTAGAAACTTTGTCAGTCATATAGTAAAAGTACTTAAAGACCTTTCGTGATACAGGTAGACCAAACAACATGAACCTTTGCCCAGGAAACAAGGGCAAACTCAAGGACCATTCTAAATGTGAGAAATAAAGGATACCTTTTGTGTCTGAATCAGCCATAACAAATAGTTAAGCTCCTGGAGGAATACACATTGTCTGTGTTTTTACTTACTTATGTTATAGCTATTGGCAATTATTGACAAAATGTGCTATGAATCATTTGATTTGAATTATCTTACATATTGGTTGTTTGCGTGATATGTTTTTGTCCACCTATATGTCAGTACTGTAACACAGATTGTCTCCTTGAGGACATTTAAGTGTTTATTTTAGTTTTCATTTACACCCTGAAATTTAGGGTTATGTCTTCATTGCCCAGGAGTGTGATCTGTCATTTCCTCTCTTCTGCAAAATGCTTTGTTTCTATCTTGGCATTGTTAAATTGTCTAGCCATTTAATGGTGTTAGCTTTATAAGTATTATAACATATGACTAAACCCTTCGGAAGTAAACAGATAAAAACAACAAAAAAATAAAAATAAAGAAAAAAAATGGTCCAAGAACTGAACCTTGGGGAACTCCACTTGCAATAGTGCTACATCTTTGTCTTTACCTAGAAGCTCTAATCTCAGCCATCATGTGTCACATTGTTACAGTCGCATCCCGAGTCAATCATATTTTATAATTCCCTCCACCAATGGCTGTTTTAGCTCAAGCAGCTCCAAAACTCTTGCTATACTTAAAACAAACTTCTAAAGACTTCAGCAAGTCAGCAGTTTAACTTCACAAGGTCTTTTGGTTAATTCAGAGCAACTTTCTGAATAATTCCACACATTATTTCTGATTTTTTGTTGATTTTTTGGAAAACAGAATGATTAATGAAATTGGGGCTTTTTAGATGTTTTGCACATCCAATCAGGAGTTGCTGAAAATATATTAAAAATGCTGATAAACAGAAAGGAAGGACTGCATGGTTATTTACTAAGATGAGAATTTGAGAACTGATTGGACTGTATGTTGACTGTCTGGTCAAATTGTTTTCATGTGGATGATCACTATTTCAGTCTTGATTTTGGATTTTGAGAAAGGAAGGCAAAACAAACAGAGCAGCTCTGTGTGTGTTTGGTAGAAAAAAATGAACCTTGTGCAACTAAATGACTCACCAATGCTTTGAAATAACGTGTCATTGTTTTACAACCTTGGATGAGAATGGGTCCCAATTCTTCATTTTTAAAGCCTGTCTGGTTCAATAGATTACAGAGGCTGGAGCACACTCCCTGTAGTTTCAAACTTGTTTGATCACGTCTACTTTCAGTGATTCAAAGACTTAAAGGAGGAATTAATTCAACCTCAGAAACCAATTCCCTCACAAGCAGAATGTTAATACAGCAGATTTTCAGCAGGTGTGAAATATTTTTGACACTTCTACAACCTCTTAACCCAAGTTTTCAAACAATGTTTAAATCAAAATGATGGGATTCTGTTCAGTATTCAAATCCCGCCGTAACACTACAATCCCTAATCCTTTTCACACATCACAACACAGTAGTGGGACTGAAATGACACCCTAATGGAAATGGATCACTGTCTCCAGGGAAGGGAATGAGAAGTAAGCAAGAGAGATGTTAAAGGAAGGAAAGCTCGGCAGCATGGCTTTGACATGTCACTGCTCTACTTGCAAACATTCAGCAAGATTTTAGCTGCACCAAAGTCTGTGCTATTTCCAAAGTTCTCTAGCAGAATGAAGACCTAGATTTAACTTTTCAACATGTCATGAAAGGATTCCACGTGGATTCAGGTATTGTAACCATGATTCAGAAAGCATGTGTATATGCTGCACAAGAAGTGTAAGACAAGAAGGAGAATGCTAGGTATGTTTGATCATAAGTTTGGTACCGGGTTGTCATTCAGCAGACTTGATGTATTTTCTTTATTTAAGCAGTATGACATTTTAAATCCTCTTAGCCCAGATTTAATATGGCTGAGCTTTAAACAAATTCACCTGAGCCTTTTCTCTGCAGCAGCTCCTGAGTGTGTTATACGCTCCCAGTCAGTAAATTAAGGTAACACATTAAGGCACATTAATCAGCACATTAAATAGCTGTGATAAGCTGTGTTTAACAGCAAAGATATAAAGTGGTGCAGCTCTACTATAAAAGTATATGCTCTGAAATCTCTAAAAATGGTTTGGAAAATTAGCCCATATCCTCAAATCAAAACTAAAATTTACTTGTCTATATGTACATGTGACTGCAAACTCTGGATTAGCACATCTGCTGAACAACAAAAATAGAACTCTTAGGAGCGAGCTATATGCAGAAAAAGTGACAAAGGCAGTGGCTGACAAACAGAAAGTGGAAGAAAGGCGGCAAATTGAGAGACAAGAAAGAAGAAAAGAGCAATTGACAGGGTGAGGAAGATAGGAAAAGAATGGCCTGAGGAAATGAACGAGGGCTGTGAGGATGTTTTGGAGGCTGTTTAAGAATTAATCCAACAGCGAGCGCTAAGCAAACACAAATACATCCCACCCTGCCACAGAGCTCCCTGTGCTGAAGCAGCTAAAAAGGAATATTATAAAGATGCAAATGTGGCCCATTTACTGCAGTGAAGAAACACGGGTGGAAATTTGGAAAGTATTTGTCTGTTTGGTGCATAAATCCAGACTCAACAACAGGCACTAGATACACACTACCCATTACACAACTCAATTTACAAGGACAGTTACTGAGGTCAAATATTCTGCAGTTCTTCACCTCAAACTCTTATTTTCTTTACTTAAAAACTAAATGACAACTCTTATCTTTTTCCGGACACCCTTAATTTTGTGAGTTCAAGTTTTTTCACCATTTATTCCCCTGTGAGGTCTCATCTTCAGTCTGGATGTCACAGAGGTGTAATGGTGAGACCAAGTTGTCCCATCGCTGTGCTGGCAGCAGAGTAAATAACAAAAAAAGTGTGATGGGGTCAGAGCCGGCCCAAGGCATAAGCGAACTAAGCGCCTGCTTAGGGCCCCACTGCCAATAGGAGGCCCCCAAGAGCAATAAGAAAAATTTAAATACTTATTTCATTTTTTGCATGTATGAGTGATGCTTTCTGTATGATCAAATATATTATTGTAAAAATCAAATAAAGTTAAAACATTTTAGTACTGCTGCTGATGTAAGCCTATGATTCTGACTGCTGCAGAACAGTGCTATGTGTGTGGTGTGCATTGTCTTAGTGTGTGTTTTGGCTGTGCATGTCTTAATATATATTAATAATGTTACAATATTTGATGTCCATCCTAAGCCTTTGCAAAATTTCACAAGTACAGGATGGCAGCAGATCTAATACGTATCACTCCTGTCCATGTATTTGCCTCCTTTGGATTCACTTGTTTGCGTTTCTACTCCGGCAATTAAACGCCTTCTGCATGCACTTCTTCTACTTTTGCCACATTATGCTGCATCAGTCAGCCTAGGGCAGACTGAGCAAGAACAGAAATCAGACACAAAACATTCAAAACATTCAGTTAATTTTCAAAATAAAACCTTTTGTGTTGACACCAGACTGTATGTCCTTCAACTAACTCAAGATATGGTCAAACACCATATCTTAGGTTATGGGGGTGAATGGTGGGTATAACTTACCAATTAGCTCGGGTAAATGCTTATATGATGAAAATTGTCATGTCATTTTAAAAACCATTTACATAGTTTTGAATGTGGAAAGCCATTAAAAGCTGTCAAATATCATTATATTGGAAAGAAAAGTAGACCTAATTAATGTATAAATCAAAGTTCATGTATAACTAATTTTATTGGTGATGTTACTTGATATTTTCTTAGATAAAGAAAATTATTAAACAAAACCTTGGAAGTCACAGATGTTTTCTTGAGAATACAGTTTAATTACAGTCTAATGTGAAGAAAGTGTAACTTGACCTCTTCTTTTCTTCACTTGAATATGTTGTGAGTCTGTTCTTTAAAAGTCATAGTTTTACAATTATTTGCATCATTACAAACCAAGCAAATCCTAACTAGATGAAAAGAACTCAAACATTTTTACTAAAATGTGCAATTGACAACAATAATGTCTATGTAGTCGGTAAACCATCCTATCTTACCAGGACACAGTGCCTTCAGGGGAGATTTTAAAAAGCTGCAGAGCAGTTCCTCACCGCGCAGACCTCCCTTGAAGCTCTGTTCCCTCACATATTTCTCTGAGCTACTCAACCTCTTCCAGCAGTCACCACAAGCACGTACACGTTTTCAGGTTGCAGGTTAATCCAGCCTTTAATTATTCTCCATGGGAATGCCAGGGGTCCAACAGCATTCCCAACTACCTTCCTCGCTCTAAAGAGTCAGTCTATCGATGAAAATCCTCTGTTTGCGGCAGTGATTCTGTCCGGGGTCATTAGAAAGGGCTGAAGGAGGAATATGCACATCCCCTAAGTGAGCAGCTCCAGGCAGTGTCCTGTTCTCTGCTCCTCTTCCAAATCAAATCCTGCACACACCTTGCTATCACTTGTCCTCCCAGTGGCTTTCATTTGAACTGGTATTCTTTGTCCTCAAGTGCCAAAAGCACAATAAAAAAAGCCTTTTTGTAATTAAAAAACTGGCTACCAGTCAGCGACAGTGCTCGAATAACAACATGTTTTCCATTAAGATTTTCAAGGCAATTTGGAAAGGTCCATTATTGAAAAATTGCCATGCTACCTTCTTCCAAGTGTCTGGGGTCAGTCTGGGTAGGAGCGTTTCTATCATGACTTATTTAGTGGGTGCACACACCATATGGACATAGTTTTCATTTGTTGTGTGGCCCTGTGGATAACTGAAAACAGGGCTGATCAGCAAGAAGCCAAGTACCTGTGAGGAGTTAAACAAAAAAGACAAGTTACATATGATATTATCTATTAACCTCTCCTTCTCTTTATGTTTCTGTTTCTTTTTACCAAGCACTAAATAATGGCCTCAAAAGTGGCACACAAAAAGAGAGGAGCTTCATTAAAATGATGACCCTTCTTTTGCTCCACCTTCAGCCAAGGAGGACTCAAACTGTCTAACCCTTAGTTTGACACAGTGTTCATTGCAATATCAACTTTATTAATCTTACCCTCTCCACACACCAAGCACGAGTAAAACCATTCACACGAATGAATTACATTTTAAGTCAATGCAAACATGCGATTAGACGCTCCTACTACTCTGGAGGCATAATTGACGCGTATTGGCGGGAGCTGAAAATGTCTCAACTTGAGCAGACACTAGTGACAACTAATCAGCACAAAGGTTGCCAGGTGAGGTATGAAAACAGACGGTTGGTCACTGGTATCTAAAATGGAGGACAAACTGATCGTGTTGGTGTGTGGGTGCCCTGAATTATATGATACTGTCTTTTTCAAGAAAACCAGAATAAAATGGGAGCTCTCCTGGAGGCAAGTGAGTAAGGAGGTCGGATTACCTGGTAAATTGTAAAAAACCTTTGTCTATCACTTGATCCTGCTGGTTGAATTGGCAGGGATTATCGCTGAAATTACCGTTGATGCGGGAATTAAGCGAGTAGATGATTTTACCTGCACTCGGTGTGAGTGCTTCATTAGTGATACATTGCAAATGAACTTATGTTATTAAGATTATGACAAAATAGTTCATGTGATGTAAGTGCTACAAAAAGACAAAGTTGGTTTTTATGTTTTTGGTTTTCAATGCCACTGTCACTGAACAGAAACCACTGTCTGTCGTCAATATCATCCCTGTCAGGAACCCAACTCTATGGAGAAAAAACCTCTGAGAGATGGGCCTCAACAGTGACACACACTACAGAACATATAAGGAGGAGCAGCAGTAAACCATCCTAATCATCCCCAATCATCTGACTCAGAGGATAAGAAGCCACTCCTAAAACAAGAAACTGAGCTTGATGAGTCATATCATTTTGCTCAAAACTGGACTGCAACAAGCCAAAGCTGGAAATTTTAAAACCTCCTGCCTTACATGGAAATCAACACAGCCTGACACAACACTCCAACTTGACCGTGAACACAAGGTTAAAGATACATGCTACATCTCACTACCACTCTCCCCACTCCCACTTTTGCATCCCCCAAAGGCCAGGGAGTTTTTGACAGGTCACCCATCCCCCACAAACCTCACACCTTAATGCAACAGGACCACTGACTTCTAGTGCTGACCCCCAGAGTAAAGAAAGAAGCCCTTCCTTTACAACCTTTTAAGAAGGTGATTTATTGTGTATCAAATTCCAAGCTCATTGCAATGCAACAGCCATGTCCGCTTGGGTTCAATGGCAGCTCTGTAGTTACTGGGCTCTCTGGTAGGTTCAAGGACAATGAGTGATAGATGCTCATCCATTTGCTCTGCACTTATCTGGAAATACTGATGATGCCGTTTACCGTCCACCCGCAGTTCAGCCACAAGATGATAAAGATCACTCTGCTGATGCATCCGGTGGTTCAGTGGATAGACTCAATACTGGATTCCTCCTCCTCTGCAGCCCTGCAAGTGGTAAATGAAAGGCTGTTGTTCTCCTTATATGAACAGGCACTGAAATATACAGAATAGCCTTGAGGATTACTGTATTAAAATATAACAAAAAATAAAAAATATAAAAAAAATAAAACATTCACTAGATTAATGCCTCTCACAACTGGTCTTGTCATACGGCTGCTGTCAGCCAACAGACACTGCTATAAAATAATTTTGAAAAAGACCAAAACTCAAACATTCAAATGATCACAGAAAGAATTTAGGTCTTCTACTTGCGGGTAAAACTGAAAGTGAGTGCAACCAAAAAGATTTGTAATCCCAAAACAATCCCTCGTTGACTCTAGCATTTTGTCTTTTTTGCATGTGTTTCTGCTCTTATATTTTATTCACTTTACCAAAGCTAATATGTGTTCAACTGCATCATCTGTGCTCTACAGTAATAGGTCTCACCCTGACATAGTCCCCCCTCACATAGTCCAAAAAGTCCCACATTGTTAGTGGAGTATCATACAGTAAGAGGTTTCAGATAAGACAGGAGTCTTTGTTTTAAATACTCAGGTAATGGGGACTGGGCTCTTCTTTTAAGACTCAAATCTGACCCAATCTCGAGTACTGTGGAGTCCGAACTCAACTCAGACTCTACTTTCAGTGACTTGTCCCCAACATTCCTCTCACTTTTATCCCCTAACTGAAACTCTTTTATTTGTGAGGTAATATTTGTTTTACTGTATAGTCCTTTTTAGGTTATCAGAATATCAGAATAAAGTACGCTCCAGTGAAATGAATATCAGTCAACAATGGAGAGGGGAAAGCAGAGGAAGAAAAGTCTTCACTGACAATATTTAAACCATGTTTATCTCAAAAATTCAACTCTGATTGCTGAATTTTAAACTTCAATCGGTGGTGATGAAGCTCTTTCTTTTTTTTTCATGCCTTAGTGCTTTTGGCTTACAAAAACCCACTTGTTTGTCGAATCACGCTGTTGGCACCATTTGATTAATTAGAAATTTAAAACCAGAAAAAGATCTGAATACAGTGTTTGGCTGTCGCTTGTATGTGGGCTGAATCTTTTTGATTCAATCAGCCAGGACTCTGTGTCATCAAGTTTCGTCTTTAATCACTTGTGTAGTAATAAATGAAACTGCATTTTACAACAACTGACAACATATCAAGTAAGTCATACTGCAAAAACAGATACATATGAGTATGTAGAAACAGAATGCATTGCCCCTTTTCTCAAACACATCCTGATTCAATATAAACTCAGAGTCATATTGAATGAATGGAGTGAAATGTTATATTTGTTTAGTCTGACGGAAACTGATTGTCATGGTCTAGAACTCCACTTATTTCCAAATATGCACACAGTCACTCACACAAACACACACACACACACATACACACACACACACACACACACACACACACACACACACACACACACACACAAACACACACCCCTATTGCAGCTCTCTCAGAATACATTATCCTCTCCCACATTCAGAGGCCTGTGATTGTCAAACCCAGCAGGAATCCAAACATTTTAACAGCCACAAAGGTACAGACATGCTGCAGGGAATAAAATATTGCCCCTCAGTCAAACATTTTTGTGAAGACTCATCCACACATATATATTTTACAGTTTTTTCATTCTCTCAGAAGAGCATGAATTTTACCAGAGCTGCAGGGTGCCATCCAAAAAATAAATAAAAAATTCTAAGAAACGGCATCAATCAAAAGGTGAGATTCCCACTGTGCTGTTCAATGAGAGAGAGTGGAACTTAAATACAAGCCACCCTTTCTGCTGTGTAGCATTGTGTTGCTGCCTTTTATATGTGCTTATTGCCAAGCAACTGTAAGTTAAGGGGAATAAAAAAATGTCAGCCTATTCAACTGGGGCAATTATCTTTGCATTTAAGCCTTGCTGTCACCCAGTTGCAGCTTAATATCTCTGTTATATAATTATAATTATAATTAGTGTGAGAAAGCATCCCACGTAAAAAAAGGTCACTGGTTTGATTCCAAGAAAAGTCAACATGTCCACTGGCACTGCAGTATCCTGAAGCTGAGACACAGTATTAAACATACTCTATATATAGGATCACTTTGCACATTATTAACCTGCTTTCTAATTTTATGTGCACGGTACACATTCAGCCTCCAGTCGCTTTCCTCTACACTGACTGAGTGATTCAACATTTTACTGCGTACAAGAGGAGGTGGATCTAATCTTTGAACTTCAATGAGACAGATTTCTTATTAAAGAACAATCTTGTTGTAATACAGAAGGAAACATTGTAAAAATAATATAATGGGCACACTAGATAGAACAAGGTAAAATGATGAGTTTAGCCATCCATCCATCCATCTTCTGCTGCTTATCCAGGGTTAGGCCACGAGGGCAGAAGCCAAATCAAGGAAGCCCAGACTTTTTAGCGATCATCAGATTCTCTATGGTATACTATAAGAAAAAAAAAAGATGAATCAATGGAAATTTTTGGAACCCCAAGTGTGCAAGCATAACTGTTTTTATGTAAGGATATAATAACATCAAGTCTATCCATGATTGGGGAATTTTTCATTTTTCATCTATGATCACTCTGCTCTCACAAACTTTTAATGGTGACAGCCGATAGTGTACGCAAAATCCTTGTTTAAAGAGGGTGGTCCGCACCACTTTTGCACCTGTTACCAATTGCGCACACAATGATAGTAGATCACCTGCAACACGCCCACATAGAGCACGTGCAATTTTTTAGTTTGCACACGCAATTAAGCGTTTGCTACTTGGGATCTTTGTAGTCTCCTACTAGTGGGACATGCCCTGAAAACCTCACCAGTGAGGTGTCTGGGCTTGATGATTTTCACATCTTTTAAATTTGACAAAACTGTCAATATCTTAAAAGTGCATTGTTAGAGATAAATTAAATAAAAAATGATCACCTGAGTAAATGAAGCAAGTATTGTACGCAGGAAGAGTACAGATGCTACAATAAGCTGACAAGGATAAATCAGAACGATTTTTCTATCTTTTGTTTTTCTGTGCTGTGAGCAGACTGTGAAGTCTGTCTCAGGCTGCACTGAAAATGTATGTATGCCAGCTGACTGCAGAAACATGTTGATTGGTAGATAGCCTGAAACAAGATGTCAACCTTCTTTTAGCATAGTCAGCTAGCAACAGAAACAACACTTTTTCACCATACTTATTACATAAATCATCTTGGATTACACTTGCTTTTGAGGGACTGAATCTCAACAGTTTCTTATCTTCTCTGTGGGTTAGAAAAGCCCTTGATGTTGCAGACAATAATGGAATTTATCCCCTTAAAGAACTCCATAATATAAGACAATCCTATTTTTTTCAGATGTTACCTGTTGTCTTTTGGTTCTTTCGGAGTCAGACAAAATTTTCTCCGGGTACTTTCACACCTTTTGTGAACCCTGCTTTGTTCTGATTCAGATGATTAAATTGAACATTGTTGCACTCCCTTGTGTCCTTTTGTGTTTATACTGCAATACTAGAGAGCTAGCCACAGCCACACCTTTGCAGGGCTTTACTCACGTCATTATGCCACAGCCTGCGTTTCCCACTTTGTAGGTAAACAAACGCCACATGTACTGGTGACACTTTGCATTGTGGGCAGCTGGCCCTGAGACACCAACTACTGTTTACTAGCTAACCTCCCCACAGAATGAGTCATGGGTTGACTTAGACCCGTGAAGAAGCCAGATGCCTCGTCAACATTTGGGCAGATGAGCATGTTTGTCAAAAGTCAGATGCCACAACCAATAAAACAAAATTTACAAACTTGTGAGTCAGTGCATGAATAAGAGGCGCCCGGGGCTTTTTCCACTCTGCTGAGAACTGTGACAGCAGTTTTTAAATGAGGTTCCAGTGATGAGAAGGACTATGCCTTTGGTTTTAACTGTGACAATATTCTTTTAACTTAAACCAGCTGATATCGTTGAGTGTTTTGATATAGCTGCACCTAGCTTCAGCTCTTCTGCTGATGTTGAATTGAACAGAGATGGTGAGTAATGTGAGGCTAGTTTTTTTTTTGCTAACTGCTTCACTTCCACCATGACTGGAGTGGGATGAATAAAGCAACCTTTGCCTCTAGTTGCTATGTTGATTGCATCCTGACTTCTAATGATTCCCTCCCGTGGAAACAAGCCGGGGCTACCTGCCACAGGTTGAAGTATTAACGTGTGTTGCATACATCTTGAAGTCTGAAGAAAAGAAATTTAATAAAGTAAACTGCATATTGAGTAACTTAAATAAATAAATAACTTAAATAACTTAACTTCGACTGCTGGTTTAAGACTGCCAGCGTCCTTGGTGGAGCTCCAGGAATGCCTGATCCATCCATCACCCACTACACCAAAGTGGCCTTCAAGCCTCTACAGAATCAGTCACCTGCTGCCATGATAGAGGCAATAAGCATATTTCCACATAAAGTCATTATTAAGACTGACTGTCATGACTGAAATTGAGATCATGATTATTTATTGGGGGGTTGACTGCATGCAACATACTCACGCTTCCTACCTACCCGACTACCGTAATAACCATTGTTCTAGTCTACATACAACATTTTTTTTCTCATTCTTCAAATGCTAAAATCAGGGACTGTAACACTTGAATATTCTGAATACACATTTCTGAGTGCATTTATTAGTGGCACTGATTTCGCCTGGCCATCATTACCAAACTACTACTACTGCACTTAAGATGGCAGGGCAGAGATGGAGGCCAGGAGCCAGCCCTGTCAGACAATGACCTGGCCAGTCCTTCATCAATATAGAGCTATACAAATGAGCCACAGCCTCTATACTGAAAGGGCTGGTTGTTGAATGAATTACAAGAACAATAATAGAAAAAATAGCTTATCAGGACAATGCTTGGTATGCCAAATGTCAGTCCGCTTCTGGACACGGCACCCTCCTCTTCTCACTATAGGAACAAGTTTAAGTGAGATGTGTTTGGGGCTCCATTTAGGCCAGGAGCAAA